TGTTAGTATTGTATGCCCTACGATCCCCAACACTTTTTTTCCTGCTTTCTCAACAAGGATGTTAGATTTTACACTGGGCCCTCAAATTAAGTAAACTGGCCCTAGTAAAGTGATAGTCACAGACAGGTTTTCAAGAACAAAAAGGTTGAAAATGATGGCCTTGTGATGAGAATATAGGTGCGGTGTAACTAGAAAGTAACCTTTTTTTTCTTCTCAGGTGGGGGCTCTCTGTGTTGCCCAGTGTGGTCTCAAATTCCTAGTCTCAAAGGCTCTTCCTGACTCAGCCTCCTAGGTAGGTGGGACTAGAGAAGTACACCACAGTGCAGAGTTAGTAATATAACTTTCATGAGGGCAAGAACATTGTCTTACAAAACTTTTTTAAATTAAATTTTTTGTGCACTTTAAATATATATAATTGCCGGGCATGGTGGCGCACACCTGTAATCCCAGCACTCGGGAGGCTGAGGCAGGAGGATCGTTGCAAGTTCGAGACCAGGTTGGGCCACAAAGTGAGCTCAAGGCCAGCCTGAGCTGCATAGCAAGACCCTGTCTCAAAAAGACAAAAAATAAATATATATATATATATATATATATATATATATAAAATGATCACATTTGTCATAGGACTTTGTAACACTACATGATATAACTTGATACTATTTTTTCCATTCTCCTACCCTCCCTTTAGCCCCTCTTCCCTTACTTATTTACAAAAGCTTTGTTTCCATTTTTTCCTTCTTGTTTCATCAGTTTTTCTTCTTTTCCCTTCCTTCCTATGGTGGATGACAAATGGTGGTCAACTTGTGACACCCAGCTGAGCTGAACCAGCTTGGTGCCAGGTGTGGGAGGCCCACCTGAGGGTTGTTGCCAGCAGCATAAGAGGCCGAATGGGAGAAGAAGAGAGGCTGTTGGGAGCTGTTGGGAGCTGTTGGGAAGCTGTTAGGGAGCTGCTGGTTCTCTTGGGCTAGTCTCCTGGAGGAACTTGTCATATGGCTTTCCTGATGAACTTGGCTGTTCTCAGACGAGGAGGAGGAGGAGGAGCTCAGGACCTTGTTGACACTGAGAATAGCTGGGGTTCACTTTGGGGGAGCTCTGGTCCTCGCTCTGAGCATCGCTTCCTGGCTTTGGAGGGGAAGATGGTGCACTGCTCAGTCTCCTGGGGAAGCTTGTCCCACTGGCTTTCCCGATGGAAACCCGGCTATCCTCATTGTTGGAGGAGCTCGGGACCTCACTGTTGCTGAGGATGGCTGTGGTACTTTCGGGCGAGCTCTGGTTCTTACTTTGAGTGTCACTTCCTGGCTCCAGTGCAGATCCCTCAGCCTGCTGACACAGATGCTTCATCCCACTCTGACACTCTCTAGTTTCCACCATTGACCTTTGGCCTTCCCAGTGCAGATCCGTGAAACAGGCCTGCATGAGGCATTGTCATGGGCTCCGGGCCTCCTGTTGGACACATGGGAGGCACTGTTATGGGCTCTAGGTCTTCAGCTGGACTCATGCAGGATATTGCCGTGGGATCCAGGCCCTCAGCTGGATTCTTTGGTCTTGAGTGTGCGGACAGATTTCCTTCACTCTCTTGTGTATGATTCTTTGGGTGACTATTATAAATAATCTTATACAATATGTGTCCTGTATTACATTGTTCCCCTTGCAAAACCCCAAGCTGCAACACTTCCTTTCCCCCTCCCCACTCCCTAGTTCCCCTTCCCATTGGAATATTTTCTGCCTATTTCACAATTTCTGTTATACAGTTTGGTCCCTATTTACAGTTTTGGCTTCTCACATCAGAGGAAAAATGTGATATTTACATATACATGTCCAGTTTATTTCATTTAACAGTACAGTCTCAATGGGGTGTGGTGGCACATGCCTATAATCCCAGCACTTGAGAGGCTAAGGTAGGAGAATTGTTGCAAGTTCGAGACCAGCCTGGGCTACAAAGTGAGCTCAAGGCCAGTCTGAACTGCATAGCGAGACCCTGTCTCAAAAAGACAAAAAAAAAAAAAAAAGTATACTCTCAAGTTGCATTCATTTAGCTAGAAATGTCTGAAGCTTATCCTTCTTTATGGCAGAGTAGTGATCCATTGTATAAAAAAATTACATCTTCTTTATCATCAGTTGATGGCCATTTGGGCTGTTTCCAAGAGTTAGTGTAGGGGGCAATGAATCTTAGCATATTATTTTAGATAAAATAGTTTCAGTAAAAACCTAAGCAGTGCTTTGGGAAGCCTCCAAGGACAGTGTAAGAGCTAATTCCCTAGACCAACTCTGCCCAGGAATGTCTCCCAGAGATAAGGGGCGCCTAGGCCTAGGTAATCCTCCATGACCCTGCCTGGGCAGTTCCATCTCCTGGCCCTAGGTAAACATTGTAACCCTAAAGGAATGCATAGGTTGTAAAAAAGGAGACAAATGGAATATAATGGGGGAAACATCTATCATGGTTAGACACATGACCTGCAACTGACCTGGGGTCCCACGGGATGAGAGAAACACCATATGGCCACCAGGGTCAGTGAATGTAACATCCCAATCTGTTACCATGGAAACCAAAATGTATATAAGGTGGAACGAAGTTGGCCATTGGCCCACTTCCAGGTTGGCCAAAGGGAGACCCTGTCTCAAAAGACAAAAAAAAAAAAAAAAAAAAAATCTATCTATCTATCTATATATAGTTAGCAACCTACCCCCTAGGGTGGGTGTAGCACTTATACCATCTTGGGCCCTCCTCTTGCACAGGCTCAGGATGATTACAGCGTGAAGACCCTGACCCTCTGTTTGTTGTTTGTTTTGTTTTTGGTTTTTTGGTTTTTCTCCGGTACCGGGAACCGAACTCACGACCTTGCGCTTGCCAGGCAGGTGCTTTTGCCGCTGAGCTAAATCCCCAGCCCCTCTGACCCTCTGTTGAGTCACTTAGTTAAACTTCTAAACTTCTTCAGCTGACACAATGAATAATCCATAACAATATCCTAGTGTGTAAGCAGCTGCCCTAGGGCATGTCCTCTACACCCTGGGATAGAGGATTGCTGAGGTACCTAGTTCTGCTTCTTTTTTTTTTTTTTTTTTTTTTTTGGTCTTTTTGAGATAGGGTCTCGCTATGCAGTTCAAGCTGGCCTTGACCTCACTCTGTAGCCCAGGCTGGTCTCGAACTCACAAAGATTCTCCTGCCTCAGCCTCTCAAGTGCTGGGATTACAGGTATGCACTGCCACGCCCAACCATGCCCATGTTAGTTGTACTTCTAAACTTCTCAAATGAACACAAAAATCAACCATCACAGACTCTGTCTCAAAATAAAAAATAAAAAGATGCAGGGCATGTATTCAGGGGGAAGACCCTGGGCTCAAACCCCAGTGTTGGGGGACACGCTCTGATGCTCATAGAATGCTTTCCCCTGGAGCTCCCTCTAGTGGCACATACATGTATAGGCGCACAGGAAAGATTCGGGGACACACGGCTGTAACTGGCTTGGATGGCTGGGGGATTTTAAGCCGTGGTCTGTAAGAATTAATGTTGTTAACTACAGAAAGCTATACACTGTATTAGTGTGGAATTATGTATTAAATGGATAACACAAGAAGCAGAGCAGCGGGTCACCTGTAATAATAGATAAATATTTTAAATGTATGTTTTTTAGACAAAATCTGGAAAAGCTATTGCTGCGGTTTGCTGAGTGCTTACGATCTCACATATGGACAGCACTTTTGTTGCTGTTTGTTTGTTTTTGTCTTTCTGAGACAGGGTCTCACTATGCAGTTCAGGCTGATCTTCAACTCACTTTGTAGCCCAGGCTGGCCTCAAACTTGAAACGATCCTTCTGCCTCAGCCTCCCGAGTGCTGGGATTACAGACATGCTAGAGACACACGCCACCACGCCCGGCTCTGTTTGTTTGTTTATTGAGAGGTCTCACTAAGAAGCACGCTGGCCTGACTCCTGGAGATCCTCCTGCTTCTGGCTCCTGAGTGCTGAGATTACAGGCATGTGCTGCCGTGCCTGGCTTTTTAAATTTTTAAAACAAGAGTCTCGGTAAATTACTAAATTACTCAGGCTGGCCTCGAATTTATGACCCTCTTGCCTCAGGCTCCTGAAGGCTGGGGTCCCTGGTGTGTGCCACCACGCCCAGTTTGCACCCCAGATTTCTCATGATGCCAGCCCTGCTGGCTCCCTTGTTAGCGGCCCCTCCTCCCTTCCCTTCACACAGCACCTTCGCCCAAAGACCATGGCGAGCAGGGGGCGGTCCGGGCACAGCCCCGGAATCGCCCCTTGCGGGAGGGGCGCAGCACTTGACGCCAGGCAGCGGAGGAAGAGCGCTGAGACCCAGGAGGGAAATGAGTGCCGGAAAGCCCCCGGGCCACTCCCCGGCAAGGCCGCGGGATCATGTTGCTCTCTCTTTTGTTCCCAGGTCTTCTTATCTGTAAACGAGAGTGACTGGGGAAGAAGGGGGCGGGGTGGCGACAATTTAAAAGTAAGAATAAAAACAAGTGAGAATGCCAGTCATTTGACGTTTGTCCTACTGTAGTTATGTTTAGGTGAGTTAATGCCTGTAAGCTGGTTAGAACAGTGACACATGGACGTACCTAAGAAGGTGGTTGCATTTTTGGTTTTGATTTTTATTTTGGAAATGCTGTTCAGCCAGGCGAGGTGGCGCACACCTGTAACCTCAGCGCTTGGAGGCTCGGGCAGGAGGGTCACTGTGCGTTAGGGGCAGCCGGGGCTACACAGCAAGATCCTGCCTCAAGAAAAAAAGGAAATATGAAGCCGGGCACCGTGGGACGTATCTGCAATCCTGGCACTGAGGAGAAAAAACCAGGAGGTTGGCAAATTTAAGTTCTGCCTGGGCAATTTAGACTGTGCCTCAAAATAAAATATCCGTCCCCTGTTGCTTTTGCTTCTTCTGCACCGTGAACTGTCTCTCCTCTGGGATGCCCCTCTGCCACGCCACCCTGCCTGGGACCCAGCCGAGTATGCCCTGGAACCTCTACAAAGTGTGAGCTAAATAAATTTTCCTCTCTTAAAACAACAAAAATAAAATAAATAAAAAAGTGAAGAAGTGCTGAGGGTGCAGCTCTGTAGCAAAGTGTGTCCCTGGGTTCGAGCTCCAGCACTGCAGGAAAAGGAAAGAAGGGAGGGAGGGAGGGAGGAAAGGACTGAGAACAGGGCTGGGGCGGCCGTGTGCCACAGGCTTGCCTAGCATGTATAAGGCCCTGGGTTCAAGTCCCAACACCGCCCTCACCACGAAACACCTTCACTTTCAGCCCAGCTCTTGCTTTGCCCAGTGACCCTGAGGAAGCCCAGCGCAGTGCCCGGGCTGCAGCTGCGCCCCGCAGGCTGGCTCTGGTCCCCAGACGCCTCTGTTGACAGACAGCTGCGGGTCCTGCTCCTCCACACTCACCTCTCTAGGCACAGCCAACCCGAACTCCTGGCACCTGCCTGCGCCTTCCCCAAACGCACCCTCTGGGGGTGAGGGGCAAAGTACCCACAGAGCCCACTTCATTGGAAGGGAAGCTGGGGTCCGCCGCAGGGAAGGAGTTTGGCAGTTGTGAGACAAGAGAAATAGAAAGTCAAGGGGTGGGGTCAGGGAATGAAAACTAAATTAAAAAAAACTTTTTTGGAAGAGTTAACAATAATCACTCTCGCGGCTAGTTCTGCAGCCCAGAGGGATTGCAGGAGCTCACAGACGCTGTGGGCTGGGGTCTCTGGGGCCTGGGGCAGCTTCCACCCCGCTGAACAGCCCCAGACGCCCCCTCTAGGCTGGGTGACCGAGAGGGGGACGGAAGGAAGGCTGGTACCAGGGTCACCCAGAGCAGGACAGGAGGAAGGCCCAGTACCAGGCGGCCACCGCTCCACTGCTCCAGGGGTGGGGACGGCGAGCCCTGCTCATCCCCGTGGTGTGTGGCCCTTTTGTGTAGAAGCCTGGCAGGGTGACGGGGGCTGTTGCAACTGGCACAGCTGCGACAGTGGCTGGGTGGAGGCAGGGCCCAAGCAGCGGTGCCCTCCCAGATCCTCCCTTCAGCGTTCTTGGGAGGCAGGGGCCATGCAGCCTGAGGGCCTCTGCTCGGCCTGACCCCTCGTGGGGCTCCGGCCCAGGAACGACAGAGATGCCTGGTTTATCAAGCGCCTCGCTGTCCAGGGGCCTGCTTGCCCTCTTCCTGGCCCAGCTGTCATCCAGTTATGCAGGTAAGATGTGTTGGTTCCTTTCCTCGGGAGACCGGAGCGCAGAAAGGCCAGTTTCCCAGGGCTCACTTCCTACAGTCAGCCTCAAAGGTCTGCACAGCTTTCCGAAAGCGGGAGCTGCCGACTCGGTCCCCCTGGCTGAAGTCTGTGGCTCTGTACGGAGTAGAAAGCAAACAAAGCTTTGTTTTTTCAGTGCTAGGATTGACTTCAGGGCCTTGCACATGTTAAGCAAGAGGGCTACACTTGGTATAACTTTGGCTTTTTACCTCTCAAGCGGGAACAAAACACGAACAGCCTCTTAGAGTTGCCATCAGGGTCAAAGAGCTGTGGAACGTGCCTGGCAGTGCCTGCGGGTAGCCAGTGCCAGGGTCTGCTGAGTTACAGCATCTTGTTATGTTGGGGAGCTCGCTCCGCACAGCCAGACACCCACAAGTTGTTAGAGGGGAGCTTTGTTCCCCCACACAGAGGAGAAATAACAGAAGAGGCACAGTTCCGACTTCAGAGAGCCACATCTGTGCGCTCCGCAGAGAAACCTTCCCAGGTCAAGGGAGAAACCACCTTCCCTCCCAGGAGCCCAGAGTCACTCGAGAAACTGGCCCTGAGGAGGAAAAAGCAGCGTGATGCTCAGCAGCTCCAGGGCTCCAGTGAGGACAAAGACAAAGAGGATAAAGTCTGAAACAGCTGGGCATGGTGCACACCTGTAATCCAGCACTCTGGGAAGCTGAGGCAGGAGGATGGCAAATTCAAGCCCAGCATGGGCAACTTGGCAATTTTGCAGGACTGTTTAAAAAATAAAAAAAAGTAGGGAGGTAGCTCAGTGTAAAAGCCTTGAGCTCAAACCCCAGCACCACAAGAAAGGGAAATGTAAAAAGCCTGCAATAGTCACTCTGAGTGGCAGGTCTCAGAGGAGGATCCAGGGAAGGGGCAGGCTGAAGGACAGAGGTGGAGAGGCAGTTAAAGTGGACGGCGTGACACAAGTAAAGCCTCTAAGTGGAAAACTGGAATCAACTGAGCTGACACCACGTAGGGAGGCCCCTGGGAAAATTAAACTTCAAGACACTAAATCCAAGCAGGCATGGTAGAGCCAGCCTGCCGTCTCAGCTCTTCGGGAGGCTGAGCTGGAGGACGGTCAATCTGAGTCCTGTCTGGGGGAGCTCAGTGACCCAGTGAGACCCTGCCTCAAATACAACATTAAAAAGGGCCTCGAAGTGTAGCTCAGTGGGAAGGCCCCGAGTACAATCCCCAGTACTGAAAAAACAAAGAAGGAAGTTTAAAACTCAAGCGCCCTCGCCCCTCCCGCGACACGCCCGGCTCCCAGGCCTCCGCTAACCCGCGGCCTCTCTGTCTCCACAGGGCAGTTCAGGGTGCTGGGGCCGGGACAGCCCCTCCGGGCCCTGGTTGGGGACGCAGTGGAGCTGCCCTGTCGCATCTCTCCGGGGAGAAACGCCTCAGGCATGGAGGTGGGGTGGTACCGGCCCCCGTTCTCCAGGGTGGTCCACCTGTACCGCCACGGCAGGGACCAGGACACGGAGCAGGCCCCCGAGTACCGGGGCCGGACCGAGCTGCTGAAGGAGGCCATCGGGGAGGGGAGGGTGACCCTCAGGATCCGGAACGTCAGGTTCGCAGACGAGGGCGGCTTCACCTGCTTCTTCCGGGATCATTCCTACCAAGAGGAGGCAGCAATGGAGTTGAGAGTGGAAGGTGAGCGGGGTGACCCAAGGTGTCATGGCTTTGAGACTTCGGTCGTTCTGTCGAGACGACGTCTTCCACCCAAGCACTTTGTTTTTTCTTTTTGAGACAGTGTCTCGCTACGCAGTTCAGGCTGGTCTTGAACTCACTTTGCAGCCCAGGCTGGCCTCGAACTTGCAACGATTCTCCGATTTTCCTGCCTCAGTCTTCCAGGTGCTGGGATTACGGGTGTGTGCCACCACGCCTGGCTACCCAAGCACTTCTGAGAATCAATGCCATAGGGATGTGTAAACCAGTACTCAGGGGCTCCTGAACTCATGGATATCTGCTGCATCGCTGTTGGCATTGGGGAGGAGATAGAAGTCAAAGTCAATGTCCGTGAGCAGGGAACTGGCTGAATGAACGAGGGTATCTCTACCATGAATATTACCCAGCCATAAAAAAGATTGCTTTAGAGCTCTACCAAGTGGCTTGAAACAATTCCTGAGGAATTTCTGAGTGATAAAAATGCAAACTATAGAATACAGGGAACAAGCACATGACTCCGTGTTTGTGGATGTGTGTACATATTTGGTGTATATGTATTCAGAGAAAAATATGGAACAATACCCACAACAAAGTTAATATGCATCACTTTGGTGTAAGAGAGGAGAGGAGGGAGGATAGAAATGTGATTCAGCAAAGGAATAAAAAAGAAGAGCCCATAATTGTCCACTCATAAAGAAGTATATGTAAGCCAGGCATGGCGGCAGAAGTCTGTGATTCCAGCTACTCGGGAGGCAGAGGTGGGCGGATCAAAAGGAGGAGCTCAATTTAGTGAGACACTGTCACAAAATAAAAATTTTTAAAAGGTCTGGCTATATATTTCAGTGGTTGGGCCCTTGCTTAGCACGAACAAGATACTGGGTACTGAGAAAAGGAGAGAGAGAGAGAGAGCGAAGGTGGTGGCGGTGCTCCCTTGTAATCCCAGCACTCAGGACGCTGAGGAGGAGGAGAGTGAGTTCAAGGTCGGAGTGGGCTACAAAGTGAGACTGGGTTCCAAGAAGTAAACAAACAGCGCTACAACCCACGGCAGGGCAGGTGGTGCAGAGCTGGACCCAGGCCCTCAGAGCGGCAGGCCCGCTGAGGTGGCATGGGGAGATCCTGTCTCAGAACACACACACGGAACGTACATCTGTGAGCACAGAGCAGAGGTGTGAAGAACAGTTCCTAGACAGAGGGCAGAGTAGAGATGCGACATGCAGGCACCCAACATCCAAAATAATCTGTGTCTGATTATTTTTGCTGCTACAGGGGACTGTACATACTCAAGAGAATTAACATAAGATCCAAGTAGAGGGGCTGGGGATTTAGCTCAGCGGCACAGCGCCTGCCTGGCAAGCACAAGGTCGTGAGTTCAGTTCCTGGTACTGGAAAAAAAAAAAAAGGTCCAAGTAGACTTCTGGGTTTCATTTGGGTGTTCTTTTGTTTATTAGTTATGAAGAACATTATTCTAAAGAATCACAAGTGATCAAACCCTATTGCAACGAATCCCTCCATTGGCATTTATTTGTTTATTTATTTATTTATTTATTTGTTGTGGGGTTTTTCTTTGGAGACAGGATTTCACTACGTAGTTCAGGCTGGCTTTGTTTTTTGATTTTAGTGTTTTTTTGTCTTTTTGAGTCAGGGTCTCACTATGCAGTTTAGGCTGGTCTTGAGCTCACTTTGTAGCCCAGGCTGGCCTCAAACTCACAACAATCCTCCTGCCTCAGCCTCCCGAGTGCTGGGATTACAGGCGTGCGCCACCACTCCTGGCGAGCTGGCTGGCTTTGACCTTACAGCCATGCTCCTGCCTCAGCCTCCAACGTGCTAGGATTACAGGTGTGCACCACCATGCCCAGCTGCAGTTTGACATTTACTGTCTCAATATGTTGCAGTGGGCCAAGGTAAAGGGGCGCAGGAGGGGCTTGTGTTGAAGAACAGGACTGTTCTGAGAGCCTGGGCCTTCTCCCTGCACCCTGCAAGCATCACCTAAGCCGACCCCTGCGTCTGCGCGGGGTGATTAGAAGATGGCATTTTGTGTGGGTAACAAAGCGCTATTTCTAGCGACAGACTGCAGAGGCATGGGAGTGGCTCTATGCGTGAAGGGACGTTTTTTAGGCTGCTGTTTTGCTGGGTAATTTTTACCTGCCAAGAATTCAGCAGGGAGGGGTGGGGTTATAGCTCAGTGGCACAAGCGCCTACCTGGCAAGTGCAAGGTCCTGAGTTCGACTCCCAGTACCAAAAGAAAAAAAAAAAAAAGAAAAACAATCCATAAAAGGAATTTAGCAGGGAGGACATCCCTCTACAGACTTCCCTCTTTCTGGTGACAGCTTTCTAAATCAGTAACTGTCTCCTCCACATACTCTGAGGCGAACAAGAAAACAAAAGGAAGGAAGGAAGCCTGAAAACCCTGCCTCCGGGGAGAAAGTTTTCCTCCGAGCCCCGCCCACCTCCGCCTCCCCGCTGCCAGCCTGAAGGCTGAACAAAGACTCTCACAGCCTCCTGACACCCCCCTCCCCACCCCGGCACTCTGGGAACCCGGAAGGGAGAAGAGTTTAGGAACAAATGCAACTGTGCTTTTGTGTTTCAGATATAAAGTCCCCTCTTTCTGTAAGCGGTTTCTGATCTTTTTTTTTTCTTTTTTTTTATTTTTTCCTTGTCATTTTGCGTGATTGTATCAGTAGTCCCTAATCTTTTCTTTTTTTGTTTTTTTTAGCAGGGAGTGGTTTTGTGTTTTTGGTTTTTATTGAGACAGGGTTGGGTTGTTTTTTTTGTCCTTTTGCGACAGGGTCTCGCTATGCAGCTCAGGCTGGCCTTGAGCTCACTGTGTATCCCAGGCTGGTCTCGAACTTGCAGTGATTCTCCTGCCTCAGCCTCCCGAGTGCTGGGATTACAGGCATGTGCCACCACAACTGGCAATGCCTTTTTGGTATCAGGAATTGAACTCAGCTTGCCAGGCTAGTACTGTGCCGCTGAGCTATATCCCCAGCCCTGGCCTTGAACTCACTTTTTAGCCCAGGCAGTCTTGAACACACAACGATCCTCCTGCCTCAGCCTCCTGAGTGCTGGGATTACAGGTGTGCACCACCACCAAGGCTTGGAGGCAGGGTCTCGCTGTGCAGTGCAGCTTGGCCTTGAACTCTCTGTAGCCCAGGCTGACCTTGAAATTGCAGTGATCCTCCTACCTCAGCCTCGCAAGTGCTGGGATCACAGGCATGCACCACCACACCCTGCTAGGCATGGTCAGTTTTTAAGAATTAGCTGGTGGGCTGGGCTTTGTTTGTGATGCTGGGGCATTGGACCCAGGGCCTCCACATTGAGCTATATCCCCAGAACTTTTTTACTTTGTATTTTAAGTTTTGAGACAGGGTGCCCTTTAATCACTAAATTGCCCAGCCTGATTTGAATTTACATTTCTCCTGCCTCAGCCTCCCAGAGTGCTGAGATTACAGGCTTGTGCCGACATGCTTGGCTTCTTTTTTTATTTTGAGACAGGGTCTTCCTAAGTCACTAAGTTGCCCAGGCTGGACTTGTATTTCCGCCTCTGCCACTTGGGCTCGTACCCTCTGGTTCATTTGCTGGCCCCTGGCCAAATCAAAGGAGGCCATTTATCTTGATAAACAATGAAAACAGTGTATTCATCACCAGCTCCAAGGAGGTGGCGGGGCCTCCTTACCCAAATCCCTGTCTCACCGTGTATAGGTGTGTGGGGCTGTGACAGCAGGGGACAGTGGAACATGTCCGGGCTCGGTTCAGCTCTCCCTGGACCCAGCCTGCCCTTCCCTTCCCTGTGGAAAGGAAACTGACCTCTTGCCTCCAGGTACCAGCCTCAGGGGGACAGGATGCTGTCCACTCACCTGGGGTGAGGAGAGGTGGGGTAGCCGTCTATGCCCTGCACCAAGGAGGCCACTGCCTCTACAGGAAAAAACCAAACTTTCAAAGTTGGCTCAGGTTACACTGGCTCCACCTCTTAGGTTCACATCCTCCACCCCGGGCAGGGCAGAGAGAGACACATCCATCAGCCCTCACTGCCCACCTTATTCTAAATCAAGCTGATTTCCAAACCCGATGGGTCCCACCTTTTAAAACTTCCACAAGAGGAGTTTTTTTCTTCTTTTTTTTGGTCTTTCTGAGACAGGGTCTTACTGTGCAGTTCAGGCCGGTCTTGAATTCACTTTGTAGCCTAGTCTGGCCTTGAAATTGCAAGGATCCTCCTGCCTCAGCTTCCCCAGTGCTGCAATTACAGGTGTGCCTGCCTGGGTGAGTTCTTAATTTTTACCCCCATTACTGGGGATTAAACCCATGGGCCACATCCACAGCCTTTTTTTTTTTTTGAGACAGGCTATCACTGTGTAGTTCAGGCTGGGTTTGAACTCACTATGTATGTAGCCCAGGCTGATTTTCAACTCTTGGGGACCCTCCTGCCTCAGTCTCCTGAGTGCTGGGATTACAGGCGTATACTAGCACACCCGGGTTTGTTGGTTTGTTTGTTTGAAACAGGTTGTAGTCCAGGCTGCTTGAACTCAGTGAACCTTCTGCCTCGGCCTCCACTGGGCTGGGATTGCTGTGTGCGCTGCTGTGCTGGGCTCAGGTTGTTTTTGACTTTAGCTGTTACCGTGGCCTTAATTGACTTTCCCTGCTTAGCCCGGGGCTGCTATTGTTGCCCTCAGCCTGGGTCCCGTGGCCTGAGGGTCATTTCCAAGTCCCTTGTCCGGCTCTCCATTCCCCAAGCCCGACCTGATACACAGTCTGGACTTGAAGCCACCTGTCCTCGGGAGCCACAGGCCCTTTCCAGAAACAAACCACTGCTTCGAGAGGGCCACCTTCTCTGAACCCTGGCGGTCCTCACTGCTTTATTCAATCCAACTTCTGGAGCCCCAGGCACCAGCCAACCTGGGGGCTGAGAATTCCGGCCCTTCTTCCTTTCAGATCCTTTCTACTGGGTCAGCCCTGGAGTGCTGGTCCTCATCGCCGTGCTGCCCGTGCTCCTCCTGCAGATCTCCGTGGGCCTCGTCTACCTCTGGCTACAGCACAGACTGAGAGGTATGGGGCAGAGCTGGCCAGGGGCTGCTTCCCAAACAGGCTCTGGCCTCTTACAGTTAGGGCAGTTAAGGGTCACTGCTGAGAGGCTTCCAGCTCAGAGCTCCAAAGGATAAAGAAACTGCACAACTGTTTCCCTGAAAGTGAGACCTAGCCAAACAAACCATCAGTCTTGAAAACTAAGGGCTGGGGAGATAGCTCAGTGGCACAAGCACCTGCCTGGCAAGTGCAAGGTCCTGAGTTCGATTCCAGGCACAAAAAAAAAAAAAAAGAATGAAAAATCCCTGATACTTGAAAACTAGAGATCAAAATGCCAGCCCCAGCCAGAGATGTAGCCCAGCGGCACAGCGCCTGCCTGGCAAGCGCAAGGTCCTGAGTTCGATTCCAGGCACAAAAAAAAAAAAAAAGAATGAAAAATCCCTGATACTTGAAAACTAGAGATCAAAATGCCAGCCCCAGCCAGAGATGTAGCCCAGCGGCACAGCGCCTGCCTGGCAAGCGCAAGGTCCTGAGTTCGATTCCTGGTAGCAAAGAAAAAAAAAAAAAAGCCAGCCCCCATGGGCCTTTCCTCGCAGCATGGGACTTACTGAAAGCTTCCTGTGGGTGACAGTGATACAGGAGAAATGTAACCCAACCTGCTTGATGTCACATGTGCCCACTTCATGTCCCCTGGAATCGAAGAATGAATTCCAAAGGACAAGGAGGCTAAGAGTGGGAAAGGCTTCCTGAGAGAGGCCCTGAGAGGCGGGAAGGGTCTCCAGTGGGTGGCCACTGAGGCTCTTTGTCAGAGGCAATGCATATGGCATGAAGTAGACACAACATGGGTCAGACCATCACCGACCCGCAGGGTTACAAGCACTGCTGCACAGCTGATCGCAATCCGGCAGGGAAGCGGGTCATGCGGTGAGGCTACATGGGAAGAACAGAGGTGTTTGGGGGAAGGGGGCATCCAGATGCTGTGCTCACCCACCTGGGCGACTGAGGAGCTGGATTCCTGGCTGGGGGCGGGGGGCAGTCACAGTATAATTCCAATTCACTGCCTATCCTTTAGAGAGGTGTGCAGGCCTGGCCACTGGGTCTTTATCTGGAGGCCTGATCTTCCTCAGATGCGCCTCCAGCCACAGTTCTGATGTCTCTACTTTTGTGCTGACTTCCCTGAGAGCCCAGACCCCATTTCACTGCACATTAATTTCTGTCTAACTTAGCTGCCTGTAGGAACAGGGACTTGCCTCTCCTGGGCGCCGTCTGACGCGCTCCAGCCCGGTTCTGTGGAGGAGGCAGGCGGCTGACCCAAGGCGACAGGAATCTAACGCAGAACTCAGGACCCTGGACTGAACTAAGCAGCGGCAGCCAGGCTGGTCTGAGCTGCTAGGCGTCTAAGGCGGGCTCTGAAGGGAAATCTCTGACACAGCACACACTCAAAACTTTGCTCCGTCTTCTCCACCAGGCGCCGAGCACTCAGGTCGCCTGTGGACGAAGCTCTTTTGTGCCCCCACTTCCTCTCCCAAGGCCAAAGCACAAGCACCGTCACCCCTCACCCACCTGTTACCAAGAAGAGGGCTGGGCGTGTGAGGCAGCACATGTGTCAGCGGGATAAACAGCAGGGTCTACTCTCTCGCCTTGAATTCATCCCAGACGCTTAGGTCTCCATGAAAAGGATCTTTAGCGTCAGGGCTGAGCAGGAAGAACCAGAATGGTGGAGTTACATACCCCGAGGTTGAATTCCACTTTAGGCGCTGAACTCGGTGCACATTTCTTGCTTCTCCTGGCCTCAGGGGCCTTGCATATCAAGTAGAGATAACGTTCTCCCCGCCTAAACTGCAGTCAGGTGTGGTGGCTCACACTTGTAATTCCAGCACTCAGCAGGCTGAGGCAGGAGGATCAATGTGAGTTTGAGCCAGCCTGGGCTACATAGCGAGATCCTATCTCAAAATCAAAAAACTTAACTAAACTGCAGGGAGGACTAGAGGGCATGTTATGTAATCTAGTACAGAGCCACTTCACAAACCTGCTCAGCTGGGGTCTGGTTTCTCCCTTCAGATGGGACGGGGCGGGGCCGGCAGTGGGGAGGAGCAGCGAGACCAAGATGCCAGACGAGGAGCGAAGGGCAGCGGGGAGACGCCACACCCAGGCTACCTCGGGGCGGTGCTGTTCACTGGGCCACCCGCACCCTTCATTTCTGTTTAATCCAAACTAGCCAGGACACAGCCTGAAGGCAGTCTCAAATCCAGGGCTCCTCCCACACCCCTAAGGATGCTGCCGGTGCGAGGGGCAGACGCAGGAAGGCCAGGGTGCCGGAGTGGAAGGGGCGCCCTCTAGTGCCAGAGCAGGAACTAACCATCTTGCCTTTCTCTATTTTAGGGAAACTTCGAGCAGAAATAGGTGAGTTCCAGGCCCGCTCCCCCACTGACCCTTGGCGGTCTTTTTCTAACTGAAATGAGACCACCTCCGCCTCTCTTCCAGCACTTGTGCTCCCTCCCCTTGGACATTTAAACCTAACCAGCCAAGCGCTGAGAGGAAATACCGCTGGTCTCCCCGGCCTTCCCTCAGTAGTGAAATCCTCCAGCTTCCCTCCCTCTCGCGTCCGGGCGGGAACCAATTCTAAGTGAGGAAGTAGCAGCCAAAGGAGAAGGGGCCCCTCCTGGGTGCTCTGCTGAACCCACTTCCATGTGTTCCTCTTTCAGAGAATCTGCACCGGACTTTTGGTGAGTGTGGGCCTCGTCTACGTCACCCAGGTCTCAGCGGCGCCCTGGAGAGGCCGCTCCCTCCCTCGTCTCTGAAGCTGTCCTGCGCACTGGGACTGTTGATAGCACACACTCACCCAGATGCTGCGTAGCTGAAACCCACTGGAACACACACAGCACACACCACCTCTCACCCTGACAGAGGGAGCTTCATGTGACTCATCAGGGAGGGCTTCGAGGAGGAAGAAAGTCACCAAGCCCCACTAGAAACTTGATCCTGGCCAGGTGTGGTGGTGCACGCCTGTAATCCCAGC